AATGTTACAGGTGGGAGAGAAATTGTCTCACGATTTGATCACGGGTGTCTTCAAATTCGTCATCACCCAGAAGTTTTCCGCCAGCTTCCTTCCCAATAGGTGGGAGCCGCACGACTGCGTGGGACGACTGTTTGAGTTAGAGAGGCGTGTATTATTGTTTTACGGCGTCATTCAAGGATCTACATAAACAGCAGTTCGAACTTAACGTTTTTATGCCATGGTGTACACAGTTAATTAAAGTGGTAAGATATTTGAAACGTCGAGGGAGGTACAGGTTGGAATCTGAGAACAGGACGTTCTTCCGCCTTGCGTATTTGGACCAGTTTAAGGGCTCATCGGAATATTAAATGTCCCACACGAGATAGCGGCTGATTTATTATTTGTTTTACAACACAGCTTATCATATTATTGTATTGGGCTGGTGTAAATAGCCTTTTGCTTTAGATAATTATTCCTAATGGCAGTTTTTACCTTTCGCCGGCTTCGAAATTGTCTACTTGATTACAGTAGGGTGGCCAGCGCTTACGAAAAAGAAATCAACGTGTCTCTGCTTATGATTGCGCCCAGAAACAGCAAACATAAGACAATAATACCTTTTTTTTGTGTTTTAGGACGGTTTGGGGGATTATAGCTGAGGGCTATTGTGGATCAAATGTTACCAAATTTCCCATAAAAAATAAGCATAGTGTGAGGAGTCTTCAAATTTGCAATCAAATTGTTGAAAAAGAATTTTTCAATGCCATGGAGACGGCGGTCACATTGGATTTTGTTGACATGTCCCAGGCATTATTTAGTCGATACTTAACTTTTTTTTCAATGGAAATATGTTGTTATTTTCCATACGTATTAGCAAACAATATCTTTAAAAAAATGATTTATTGAACTTTTCGCTAAACAAATGAGCACATTTTAATGCATGTTTTCTCGAGGTAATATTCAAGGTTACAAAAAATTTGTGAAAGTCCACATTCCAGACACCGCCAAAAAAAATCTATTCCATATGTCCGCAATAACTTTAACAGACTCTTTTATAGTGTGATACCTTTTCTTCATTCTGGGAAAATGTCATGAAGAGTGGACGAAAAATGGTGAAAATATTTTAAAAAGTAAAAAGAAAACAGTGTTTTGAGAAAACGGACGATGAAGAAAAAAAAAGACTTTTTGAGGACATGGCGGTAACAAACATGCCTGATATATGACAAAATTAGGCTTTAATGGGTTTTTATGAGATGAAATAGTTGTAAGAGAGGCTGAAGAAACAAAAAATGCCCACATATCAAAATCCATAACTTGACCTAAAGCAGAGCTTTCAGCAGTAAAAATAATGAATTACAACACAAGTCAAAAACTTACTTAGAACGATACTAAATGAAAAAATAAAGCTCGTCTTTCTAACTGATGACCTTTCCAAAATGTTCTACACATCTGACACCTCTTCATTATCCTAATGTATTTAACCCAACAGGGATGTTTCTTCAACAAAAGAAATGTTTTAAACTCTCACAATCGCCCTAAATATCTAACTAACCCATGCGAGATCGAGCCCTAACCTTGTCTTTCCCCTCATCCTCCTAGCTTTCCGAATACCACCTGGGCTCATGTCAACAAGTCCCAAGCATTGCAAATCACACCGGCCTTCAGCAGCCCTATAAAATTTCCGAAATTTTGAGCTCGGAGTCCTCTCGCCCGCAAAGAAATCTTTTCGTTCCCAAAGAGAACGTCTGCCTTTGAGGAGGAGAAAAAAAAGAAGTGCAGGCATGACGACAGATATTTTTAACCCTTAGCAAACAGTGAACTCGCTCTAAAACCCGACTTGGAGGATGCAATGGTTAGCTTAGCATCAATAATGATTTAGATGCCAGGTAATGTCTGTCTGCAGGGTGGGGTGACCTCAAAATTTTGGCTGAAGAACGTGTCTTTGCGTGTGCTTGCCACCCAGACCCCGCCAACACACACACTTTGTCGAGTGTCTTGCCTAAACCACAACTTGTATGTATCTCCCCTTTACCTTCACTTGTCTCTTTTGCGCAGTACTTGACAAAACGTCACTCTTATTTTCGCCCAAACTCGTCACGCGAAGGAAGCACGTTTTGTAATTGTTTCATTTAGGCGAGAGGATCATTAGCGGTAAGGGGATCCCCGCGTCTTTCAAGATCAAGGGGACGCCGCAGGACTGAAGAGAATAGAGAGATAAAGGTTTAAACGGTCGTGGGTAGGACGGTGATGGCTTTCATGAAGTGACTGGGATAGGGTTAAGAAGAAGAAGAAGAAGAAGAAGAAGAAGAAGAAGAAGAAGAAGAAGAAGAA